GGTCTCACGGGACGGGCAGCCCGTCCCCGGCGGTCAGGCGCGGTGACCGGCTCACTGTCCCCTTGCAGCCGCCGCGCGGTCCAAGTTCTACGTGCGGGATCCGCCGCACGACAAACCCGACTGGCTGAAAGTCGGCCTGACCTTGGGCACCTCGGCCTTCCTGTGGCTCTACGTAAGTCTGGTCGCCCCGGTGGGAACCCGGCGCGGGGGGCAGTGCAGGCTGGACCGCACCTGGCGGTGTGGTCACGGGCTGCAGAGAAACAGGAAGGTGCCAGCGGATCGAGAAAGGATGGTGTGAGCCCGAGGGCTTGTTCTCTTGTTGCTTGAGCGAGGTTTCGCGATGACTGGCGTTGGTGCTAAATAATATTATTTTGTTTCTTAAAATGGATCGAGGCTGGTTGCGGTGTCCTGGAGGACTTTTTTTCAGGTGCCGCATACAAAGGAAATCCCATGAGGCTTCCAAAACGTGAAGTTTTAGCCGGTGTATAAATACATTGTTGGAAACTGGACTTGGAGTGTGTGGAGTGTGCGACCTTGCGACCTTTTTTTTTTTTTCTTTGCCCTTCCGTGTAAACATTAGTTTAACGCCTTCACCAACTCTGGCCAGGTGCTATTGTTGTTAACCTTGCACAGATGAAAAAACACACTTCGAGAAAGTAGTTTGCTGCACCCCTTTCTCCCCGACTTAGAGCTACATTCTAGGTCATTGTGAAATACTGCCTTTCCCTCTTGTTTTTAAAGTTGATTAAAGTATTTGTGCTACATTTAAATTTTTTGTTTGTGACAAGTAAACTTGGGCCATCTTCCACTGTCCCTGTCTCCAGCTCTTTAAATCTATTTTGGATTTTCTCATTGGAGTGGTTTAACTGACATAGGAAGGAGTCAGAGACGTTGACAGTCACAACAGTAATCTTTTTCAGTAATGTTGTAATGGAGACCCTAGTTGAAAGTTGATCACTCAGAAACTGAGGTTGGATGGCTGAATGTCAGCCATTGTTCTACTCCCATATTCTGGCACAGCGGGTCTAAAAGGACTGCCTTCCATGACATATAGCTCGTGCACCTTTAGTTCAGGCAGTCACTCAGCGTATCAGACAACTGAAGGTAAGCGGTGTAACACACACACACCGACCACCCTTGAGCCATTAGTGACCCAGTTCTGCTGTGTCCTGTTAATCCGTCCCTCTGTGCTAAGACATCCCTCCGTTGGCTACCCATAGAGTGCAGTGATTGATGCAGTCCTCCATTATCCCCGCTCACTTTCCATGTTGTAGTTACTCCTGGTCCAGAACTATTTTGAGAGAGTGCATTCACATAATTCCATTATAGTGCACTGTTGTAATTGTTCGGTGTATTATTAGGTATTACAGTAACCCCATAGCAGGCCTCATTCAGGCCTTCGCTTGGAACATACATGCAGCTCAGTGCTTCCCATGGTGTCAGGCACCCACTAGGGTCCGGAAATGTATCCCCTAAGGAAAAGACGGGGCTACTACCTTGGCAGAATTTCAGTTTCGACTTTCAAGGATTGCTTCTCAAATTTAACGTAGTTGGATTGTGGTGAACAAGTATATGCAATTCATGACTTTGGACTTTTGAGGCTCCTTTTTATTCTAGCTAGAACAGAATAGTTGTAATTCTTTTATTTCATCTATCCTTAATTCTTTGTCAAAATAGAAGTATTGGTAGTTAGCCTTCTCCTCTATAAGTTGCCAGAAAAATTGCATTTCTAATGTTAACTTATTTAATTCTAGCTCATCAAACAGCATAATGAAGATGTCTTAGAGTATAAAAGAAGGAATGGATTGGAATAAACTTGTGGAATATTAACATAGTAAGTGTACAGCTTTTATAGGCTGAAAAGATGATTTAAGTTAATTTGACCTCTTTAAAATGCATTATTTACAAACAAAATACATTAGTATTTTCATTTTCTTTTTAAGATTTATTTATTTATGCATACAAGAACTGGGGTGTAGGGCAGAGGTGCAGAGGGTGAGGATGCATGAGAGACAGTGGGGAGCAGAACAGGCAGATTTACTGAAATGCACTATTGAGGGGAGCAGCGGGCGGGCCTGCTGTGTCACACATATGTGGGTCACTCCCTGGCCAAGGATTGAACTCAGGTCAATTCAGGCCCAAGCCATAGAGGTGATAGTTCAGAGACTTAACCCCTAGGCCACTAGGGAGAGAGACCCCTACTTTCTTAAATCTACTAGAGCTTTACAGAGTACTTTCATGGTTATCACACATTAGAAATGTCTGTTTTGACACATCACACTTGAGTGTAAATTCCTTGACAGCAGGAACCATCTGTCTTATTAACCATCATGTACTGGACAACTGGCCAGGTACTGGGTCCACCTGGGAGCTTAGTGTTGGTAGAACGGGCTGGTGGAGAAGCACAATAGATTGTCCAGTTTATTTCTGCTAGGCCATTTCATCATGATTGTCATATATTTCTGAAATTCTTAATCCTTCTGTAAAATGAAAAATCATAATCCGCTTTTGTGCAGTAGATTGGTCACTGCAGGGGACTTGTGTCCACTGGGTAATGAGCAGCATAGTGGCCACTCGCGCTATGTTTCAATATTAACTCCCAGAGTCAGCCGTGGGGTTGAAGATCCACATTTTTCACTCTTTTTCTACCAAAAAAGAAATCGATAATTAAATCAAAACTACAAGCTGGCAGCAAAGCAGCCGAGGCTTTTGCCACATTTGTGCTCAGGCACTGTTTTCTTGCTCCCTCGTAGGTAAGATGAGGGGCTGATCCTGTTTACATTTGCTGTCTGGGTTATCCTACGGTGACTTACTGAGTGTGTCCTGATTTCAGTATTTCCGCTGGTTACTGCTAAGGTTGTAATTCGTTTTCTTTCGTTGTAGGGGCGCCATCGAGTGACGCGGCGGTTCCTCTGGATCCCCCAGTCTGTTGCGGTGTTCATGTGAGATGTTGTATGTGAATATTTGTCAAATCAGCATTTGTGTTTTACATCATTACGTGAAAAAATAAAAATGCTTCTGTATTCAGATTATGTATATTGCGACCACTTGTAATATGTGACTCGAAGGGCCACCGGAAGAAGTATTTCTCTGCGGCTGGGGCCGTCTGATAGCAGTCAACAGCAAAGAAATTTGCTAAGAAACTTTGTTAAGGAGATGCTTTCCGAAATCACTGCTGGAGGATTTACACCTGTGTCAACTTCAAATTTTTATTCTTTAGTGATCAGGATGATAGATCTATGGTAGTATGCAAAGCATAAAAGTACCAAATACTGTTCTCTTCTTTACATGAGGAAAGAGGAATCCTGTGACCAGACATTCTTAAGACACTATTTTCTTGAATTTGAATGATTCTCACTGGGGTGACTATTTTTACTGGTTGAAGCAACGCCAACTTCGTTACTCCTTTTTTGTTGAGGAAATTTGTTATTCCTTCATTCTTTTATCTATGATTGGATGGTTAATACACACAAATTAAAATACATTATCCCTTATCAAAACCTGTTCTTGTAAGTCAGTTAAAACTTATTTACATGCCACATTATTAACTTGTTGTTTAAACACTTACTGTACCATACACTTAAAGATTCAGTATTTTATGTTTCCATTCTGGTGTTGAGAGGTTCATTGCTTTATAATTGTTTATGTGTCTTTACTCTCTGGGTGAATCATGACCCAATATTGTTGTGTGTCGCTTCAAACAGCTTCAGATTTATATTATTTCAGAGTAATTAATCCAAATTCAATGAAAAACCAGCTATCACAGTAAATGTTAACTTTTGAAATACTAACTGGTAAGACTAGGTAGACCACTCTCATCATTTTACAAATGCAGATACCAGAGGTGAACAGCCATGTGCTCAGCACCGCTATGGTTGGGAGAATGATGAACCCCAGAGGTGACCATTTCCCAGTGCCTAGAATCTGTGTGTGTTAGGTTATATGATAGTTTTAATAAATTAAGATTGCAGCTGGAATTAAAATTTCTAGTCAGTTGACACTAAAGTGGGGAGATTATTTGGGCCCAGGAGTCTCTAAGTGGAAGGAGAATGTGATGGGGATCTTGGATAAGCAAAACTCAGCTGGCCACCGTGGGCTTTGAAGATGGAAGGAGGCCAAAAGTCAAGGAATTGGACAGTCTAGAAGCTAGAAAAGTCATACTCTCGCCTGGAGCTTCCAGAAGGAAGTGGAGCCCTGCTAACACCTTGATCTTAGTCCAGTAAGACCTGTGTCGGAATTGCGACCTACAAAACTGTAAAATGGTAAATAAATTTATGTTGTCATAACTCACAACATTTGTTATATCAGCAAGAGGGAACTATTATGTTGTCAGAAAAGTCATGATGAGATTTTTCTGGTTTTCAAACGAAAATGCTGACTCTTCCAACAACCCAGTAATGTCACATGGTAATAGAGGCAGGAAGGTGGGTATCAACTCTCAGTTCAAGATGCTCTGCACTAAAAGAAACACTCAAAATTTACATTCCTAAATGGAGCAAAAATCTCTTAAGACACTTGAAAATATGGAAACTGATAGCCTTAGTTGGAAATAAAATGCAACTTAAATAAACAGTATCTGCTATCTATTCTGTTGGGCCTTAAGAATCTACCTACTCTTGTTAACTCTCAACTGTGCCTGTGCAACTCCAGGGCTAGCCAGTCCTGAAGGTCAGGGCCATGCTGAAGAACATTCTGCAGACAGGAGAAAGCGGTGTATCTGCCATTCAACATGGCAACCATCTCTCCATGTGGGTGTTGAGCATCTGGGATGTGATTAGTGGGCCTAAATTTTTTTTAAGGATTTATTTTTATTTAAGCATATAAGAACTCAAGTTCAGGCCAGAGGGTGGGGGAGAGGGGTGAGGATTCACCAGAGATAGTGGGGAGCAGAACTGGGCCCCCTAAAAGATACTGCTGAGGGGAACAGCAGGGAGACAGGAAAGGCCTGCTGCACCATGTAAGTCAGCTCCCTGATATACACAATGACTAGCTTGATAGTGCGAACCCCTATGCCACCAGGGAGGCCCCTGGATCTGAGTTTTTAATAGTATGTAAATTTAAATGGACCTAGATGTAGACTAGTAAATAACACCTAGACATGAGCTACATAGTAACACTGGTCATGGCTTTCAAGGTTACTGAAACGCCCTCCGTGGTGGTGCAGGTGCAATGAGTTGAAAGCACTGCTTCCATGAGTTTGATCCCCACCCAGAGGTGACCCACATGGTGCCCAGACCTCTCCTGTCTCCCTGCTGCTCCCCTCAGCAGTGTAATTTGTCAGTCTGCCTATTCTGCTCCCCACTGGCTATGGTGAATCCCCTCACTGCCTCTGCCCCTCTGGCCTATACCCCAGTTCTGTATTCATAAATAAATAAATCTTTAAAAAAAAATTACTGAGGCCCTCCCTGGTGGTGCAGTGGGTTAAAGCACAGCACTGTGAAGCTATCTGGAGTCTCTGCAACATGAGTTCAATCCCTGGTCAGGGAGATGACCCACATGGCATGACAGACACAGACCTCTCCTGACCCGCCTGCTGCTCCCCTCAGCAGTGTACTTCCTCAGTCTGTCTGTTCTGCTCCCCACTCTGTCTCTGGTGAGTCCTCTCACCGCCCCTGCACCTCTGGCCTATACCCAGTTCTGTATGTGTAAATAAATAAACTTATAAAAAAAAATTACTGAAACCTGACAGATTGAAGCTAAATTAGAAGAGGAGACGAAGACCCATGCCCTGGATAAATTGGGTTCTGGAGCTCACTTGTCAGAACACTTGGGCCTTCTGCGCTCTGCTGTAGCGCCTCACACAGACCTCTTCTAGGCCACATTGTAAAGGATATTCATCGCTAGCATTCCTGGCTTTCAAAGCCTCAGTTCAGGAGCTGCTGGACTAAAGAAACAGTGCCCAAGAGGAACTGTGATGGGGTGATGGATCCTTCAATGAACCAAATGTGAAAAGGGATGAAGGTTTTTATTCAATTAAAATGAAAGAAACCTTTCCCCAGATTTATTCCTTGAAATCATTTCAGTTATTTTCTTTTAAAGATTTATTGATTTATGCACACAAGAACTGGGGTACAGGCCATAGGTGCGGGTCAGAGGATTCATCAGAGACAGAGTGTGGCACAGAACAGGCAAATGGACTGAAACACACTGCTATAGGGGGCAGTGGACAGGTCAGAGGTCTGCTGCACCATGTGGGTCAGCTCCCTGGCCTGGGATCAAACTCGCTGCAGATGGCTTCATAGTGCTGTGCTTCAACCCATCAAGCCACCAGGGAGGGCCCACTCAGCTATTTTCTTAAATCACCATGGGAAAAACAGGCTAGAGACATTTGCAGATATAAGAATTTAGGGGTTGAACTGTGTTTTCCCATAGACAGGCAAATCATTACCCGAAGTACCTCAGGATGGGACTTGGAAATAGGGTAGTTGCTGATGTCAGCTGAAGAGGTATTGATAACGCAGTGGGTGGCTCCTGAGTCCATGTAACTAGGAGATTTGTAAGAAGGTGTCAGAAGAGACACAAGAGGACAGCAGAGTTTGGAGTGAAGCATCTACAAGCCATCAATGCCCATAGGAATCAGAAGCTCGGTAAGGCTTTCAGAGGAGGCCGGGCCTTGCCAGAGGAAGACTCGAGATAACCAGCCTCCAACAATGGGAACCAATTGCTGCTGCTTGTCATTATTACAGCAGCCTTCGGGAACATACAGAAATGTCCTTCATTTCACTGCAGAGCAGGGCACTGAGTGACCTTCAAGTTTGAAAATGGACCGCCTCGGCTACCTTCCCCCTTCGTTTTAGCGTTAATATTTTAGGCTATCAAAAGGACGCTCAGTTCATCTTCCTAGATTCTTCTAAGTGGTTTCACTCTATCTCCATACTGATCTGTTGAAAATACAGGTGACGGCCTAAGAATTTAGTCTCAAGGAATACAAAGCTGTTGCTAGATTGCCATGAAGGCTCGCAAATCCCTCTGTCTTTGAAACTCGCTTTTCACTACCACTACGCAGCCGAAGCTGGTGTAAGTGTTGAGCATTGCCCCAGGCCCTTCGTCCTGTGCTTTCAAGACTGAACTCTGTCAGCTGTCACAGTGAGTTTGAAGTTGTCCTGGATACGCAAGGCTAGCTCTGCCCCAAGATGCATGTTTTCCCCACTGGACCTGGGAGAATGTCAAGGACATACCCAAGGCAGCACTATAAACAACGTGACTATCAGCCAGAGACTTGTCTGAGAGGTGTCTTTAGCAAAGGCCCGATGTTAAGATCCTCTCAGGTTTGGGAGAGAAAACCACCACATAAACCTGCTCAGGCTTGGAAAATGTTTTGTCAAGAAGTGACAAATAGAAAACCGAATTTCCTACTGGAGCTGTCAAAAAAGCAGAATATTCCTTTCCACCTGCTTTGTTCCCCATCCTGTCTCCGGTGAACCCTCATCCCCACCTCTGGCCTACACCCCAACTCTTGTATGCATACATAAAGTGAAAATAAACCTTACCCAAAAAGTCCATCCAGGAGGCATCAAGCTTCTGGCTAAAATGAAAAGGGGTCTGGACAAGTGCACTGTGTATCTCACAGTTCTAACCTGTCCCAGCTGGGATGGCCACCTCTGACCTGGAGGACTCCAGGAGCTGACCCTCACTATGTGGGAAGTATGGGGAGTGGCCACAGGCTCCCACAGGATAGTCAAGGGAGCCTTCAGCTGCAAGTCAGCGCCTGCCTGGCACTGCTGGCTCCAGGTACTGGAGGACAGTCAGCGCCTGCCTGGCACCAGAGCCCACACCAGCCATCTGCCATCCGAAATGCAGCTCCGAGTTCACCTCAACCCTAGGAATAAAGACACACCCATGCCTCGTGCCAGCAGGTCTCTGGCTTCCAGAAGCTCTTCACCACAGCCTTTGTGTATCATGGACATCATCAGTACCTCTGGACCCTTCCTACTCCTTAGAGTTGGTGAGATCTACACAGATAGAGATGATAATATTTGGAGAAAACTCTTAAAGCTATGTGTAGATCCTTTGCACACTGTTTAAGCCCAAGTCCTAGCTTACATTTATGATGGCTATCTGGTCAGAGGTTTCCATGTGACCTCACACCCCACAGAGATGCTCCTGGCAGCCAACCCAGAGAAGATGCTGGCTGCCTGGCCATTTACCCTGCAACCACAACCCCTGCGAGGGACAGCAAAGCCGTGTCGCTCACTGGTGCGAGCCATGCAGAGCCTACCACCCAGGAGTGAGAGAAGAGGCTTACCCCAGTGTCCTGCGAGCCAGCCTCATCATCAAAGCTTCACCCTGAAAGAACCCTTGGAGGGGAGAGGCCAGCACATCAGATAACAGCATGGTGCATGTGTTCATTCCCTGAAACGCCTGCACTGCCCTTGATCATGCATTTCCCTGTCAAAACTCAGACCTAAGCACCAAGACAAGAAGAAAGGAACAGGAGAGGTGGCCCCATGGGTTTGGCTGCCCATCTGTTACATAGCTGACCAGAGAAAGCTAGTCGCCAGCTGCCCGAGGGTGGGCTTTGGTCAAAGGCCGCCAGCTTGCAGCCCCTCAGGAGCCCCGACTCCCAAGGTGGGTCTTGCCCCCCCACCTTGGTGAGAATTCTAACTCTGACAAGGCAAAGGACCTAACTCTGCTCAGGACCTGGTGAAGCACTCCCGAGAGCTAACGACTGGAGGATCAAAGACCAGCTCGGACCAGATGGGAGTCTGTGAAACAGAATTGGGCTCAGCACTAGCACCTCAGAGCGGTGGCGTTCAGTCACTCAGAAGCGATAGTGCTGTTAATGGTCAAGTGTTTTCTCAGCATCCAGAGGCAGACACAAGGGTCCCCGAAGTGTGAACCCCCCCTTCCAGCGCGACCCGTTCAGAAAATGTTAAAGCCTAAATTCCAGGTTTCCTTATTCAAACCATGACACCTTCCCGTAGCCACTATGAGGCCAGTCATTAGAATCTGGGGAAAGAACCTAATTAATGAGCGTTTTTAATCGGTGTGGAAATCCTCACTTTCCACCCAGAGAGTTAGCCACAGCGTTGGGGATTTGCTTGAAGCCCCTGGCCTGCGGCTTCCTTTCCACTCCTCACCGCCTGGGCGCCGCAGTAGCCGAGTTTCGCTCTCCTCACCTCTTCCCCGAGACTCCCCATCGCTCCCACCCCGGGAAAGCTCACCCGCGCTGGAGACGCGGTGACAGCGTCCGGCTCCAACTTGGGGCGCTGGCCCCGTCCTTCCAGTCGGCGGGGTGGTGGCACCCCGCGCCCCGGCACAGGGTGCAGGGGTCTCGGGAGGAGTGTAGGGGTCTCGGGAGGGTGCAGGGGTCTCGGGAGGGTGCAGGGGTCTCGGGAGGAGTGTAGGGGTCTCGGGAGGGTGCAGGGGTCTCGGGAGGGTGCAGGGGTCTCGGGAGGAGTGTAGGGGTCTCGGGAGGGTGCAGGGGTCTCGGGAGGGTGCAGGGTTCTCGGGAGGGTGCAGGG